ACACACACACACACACACACACACACACACACTCGCACACACACACACTCGCACACACACACACACACACACACACACACACACACACAGTGCGTCACGACGGACAAGAGAGAAGAGCGCGGTTACGAGAGAGTGATTAGTACACAACAGCGTAAGAGGTCGAGAATCCGAGCAAGAAAGAGCAAGAAAGACGGCCGCAGTCACGACAGGACAGCTTTCACCGGCAGCACGAGCACAAGCTCACCGCCCAAGTTGCGCTGCCAGCCTACTACCTACCCCTGAGGTGAGTCGTTCAGCGGCGCACCAGCGAGGTTGCGTCTCCGCTCCGGCCGAGATCATAGACCGGCGGCAGGAGCACAGCAGCGCCTCTGAGCTGCGAACGATACTCGATAGGTCGGGATGCCCCCAGCGAAGAGCGCCCACCGGCCGAGATCGCAGATCTTCAAAATCTAGGGCCAGTTACCGAGAATTCAAATTGAGGCGGGACCAGGTGGGACCAGATGGGACCAATCTGAAGTCCTTGCGCCAGGTGCCTTTAAATTTAAACATTTGACCCGCCTTTTACGATGGGATTTAACTACCGAACGTGGACAGGTTTAGGGAAAGATGCAGAACATCGCGATTGATACGCTTTTCTGCACCTCTGCGCGAACCATGTCCACATTCGGGCGCTTAATCCAATGCTGCTTGCTGGTGGGACTGCGCCTCGGCGGAGGGAGGGGGGGGGGGGGCGGGGGGGAGAGGCCCTACTCCGGTAGGGTCGGAATCTTCCACAGGTGGGCCTACCACGTAGGTCCCGATTACACGCATTCTAAGAGAGAGAGGAGCCGTAAGATAACTTGATATCGATGCCTCAGAACTGTCTCACTGATCTGTGCGAGTGGAAAACCGACCCCGACCCCCTCGACCCGACCCCGAACGCGTCGGAAAGCTGTTGCGCCGCGCTTTTTCGGGGGTGTGCCGCCATTTTCCTTTTTGCGGGCTTGATATCGATATACATGCATATATACATCGTCAAACAGGGCGGGGGACAACCGTAGGTCGAAAGATATATATGTCCTCTTCTCTCTCTCTGCCTACGGTTTTACCGGGCAGTTCTGTTTGTGACGATATATATATATATGACGATATATATGTATGCATGTGGTGATTGTTTTTATTTTGTATTTTCTTTTGGAGATGATCACAGAATGCAAAGGGTTCC